ATAGGGTTGTTTGTTGTTAATAGCCTTCCTCTTTTTCCCCCCCCCCCCCCCCCCCAAAACAGTGCGTCATGTGGGTTTCCACATCATCAGCACACTAGTTTGCCCCACTTTGGTCTCTTATCTTCTTGGCTCTCCCACGTTCTATCCATATCCTTTTATTATAATCGTCATGTCTGAGTTAGCTTACACGTATCTCGTTTAATTTTAGCAGTATACCTGCTACATTTTTACCTCCCATAAATACATATACGTGATACTTTTATTACTTAAGCTTTGAACAAATGAAAAGAAATTATAGAATTTATATTTGAGACTTGTGATTTTCAACTCACTTCATTGATCATTATACTACAAGAAATATTTCATGTGGACTAACAACTTTAGCTCGATTTTTTAATGTGTTAAAGAATTTATTATTAAAAATAAGTACAAAGAATATATTTTTAACCAATTAAATCAAATTGGTTTTGTTAAATTTTTACAAAACTGATAGAGTTTCAGGAATTCAAATTTTGAACTTTTGATGTGATATCTTTTTATTTTATTTTATTTTTGTATCGTTGATTGATATAATAAGTTAAACTAACGTTTTAAATTTTGGCTACTGTTATGTAATAGCAAATGAAAACAATAATTGAAAATGAGCATGTTATAGAAATTGTCACATTTGTACCAAACAATGTTGTTTATGAAACGATCACATTGGTGCTTTGCACTTTGGTTTACCGGTAAAAGCGTTACTTGTGATGTGTGGGTCTGATTTTACGCTATGAGTTGTCGAACATTGCAACAAATAAAACGTTTGGTATTCAAGTGAAAAAGAATAAAAGGATAAGTTTATCATCTATCGAGATTTTAAACCGTGCACTATTTATATTGACCTTTCCTAGTGGTAAAAGTGTAATTTGTGATGTTGTACTTAATTAGAGCATGTATTGTGACTATGAGTTATACACATTATGAATTTTAAACACCAAGTTATAAATTTAAGTGGAAAATGATAAATAAGCGAGTTTATTATTCATTGAAATTTCAAATCTTGTGTCATTAATAGCTAGTGATAAAAGCGTAACTTCTGATGTGGTGAATTAGACGCACGCCATAAATTATCAAATCCCGTCACAAACATAAACTATCCCCCAAATTTTTAATCTTATGTCATGTCAGTAGTAAATTAAAAAAAAAAATTATTAATGTTGTCAACTTCTTCCTATAGTTCATATAATAATTAATAATTAAATTATTGGAAAAAAAATTAATTACGTACTCCCAACCCGACCCGATCTACCCCACTCTTCTTCAAGTCGTCTTCCCCAAATTATCAGTTGTAGCAATTTTGTGGCTATAAATTTCTGAATCCACACCAAATCTAGGGTTTCCATATTCTTCAATTACATCTTATCTCTCTGCAAATCCATCGATCATGGAGGAAAAGGTATGAACGATTTCGTATTCTTTCTATATAGCTTCACAAATTTACGAATTCATTTTTGGTTCCAAATTGAGCATAATCGATTCATTAGCTGAATCCAACTAGTTTGTTGTTGTTACTGTAAGAGATTTAATTTTGGTAAATATGGGTGTTTTTAGCTGGAATTTTTACTCAAGCTATATAATTCAATTTATGGTGAATTTTGATAGATTTTCAGTTTCCATGAGCTGAAATAATGGTTGTTTGTTTGTTCTCGATCTTGATCTGAGTTCTTCTTCCTTTCAATTTTTTTTTCATTTAATAATGAGTGCAGTTAAATCTGCTTATATTGGACTGTCTGTTTATGTTGTGTTCTGTCGCTTTCCCAACTTTTATTTGTCTATTCAGGTCATTATCAATTTAGAGGATTAATTTTTGGTTCCAAATTGAGTATAGTTGATATTGATGATTCGTTTAGCTGAATCCAATTAGTTTGTTGCTGTTAGTGTAACGATCGGGTAATATGTGATTTTTAGCTGGAATTTATCCAAGTTATGTAAGTGAATTCTCGATCTTGATCTGACTTATTCTTCTTCTTTATGTTGTCTAAAAGGCTAAAGCCCTGGACTTTATGCTGTAATTGAACTTGATTGGTCAAAGTTTGGAGCTTTAGTTTGTGGAAGACGATGAAGCGATGACCACCACACTTCAAGATTTGGACGATCCTGATCGGAACAAGGTTGAAAGCAATGGGTCCAGTGTTATTAATAACAATGCCCCTATTTTAGATGAGTCTAAAGGTAAAGGTATTGAAACTGCGGACCCAGTGGGTTCACCTCCCTCAGTGAAATCCTCACCAACAGCTAAAGGATTTGGCTTGAAGAAATGGAGGAGGATCAGGCGGGAAGCACACAAGGATGAGGACAGTAACACAGACAGTGCTAAGTTGTTGAAGCGTGGTTTGTCAAGCTCTGCTGCAAACTCAGCAAAACCTGTACATTTGTCTGCTGGAACAATCCGAAATAGTGATGGATCTGTTTCTTCAGTAAATGCACTATTGAGTATCCCTGATGTTCTTGTTGATGGCTTTGGTCTTATTGGTAATTCTGGGTTGGCGATTCAGCCTATATTTTTTGGTGGAACAGACTCGGACAATAGTGAGGATCGGAGTAGTAGGTCTTCGTCTGCAGCCAGTGTTCCAAAGTCAAGGTACGAAGCACCTATCTTCCATGGTTATGTGCCTGTTAAGAATGGGCAGAGGACTCTGAGTGGGAAGATGGGTACTTCAGCTCAGCAATCTCATCGGGGAAAGGGTCAGGCTGAAACTAGTAAAAAGCCTAGAGGAGAAAGGGTCAAAATCGAGAAGGAAAACTCTCATTCAAGCATGGAATCTGACTCACAAAGCTCCAATTTTCTACCCACGCAGAGTAATAATCATGCAACAAGTAATGGTACGAAAGGTGGAAGCTCAGTGAATAATGATGGACAATTCAGTGATGAAGTTCTCACCAGAGAAAGACCATTCAGCGAGGAACTTCAGACTGCTCTAGACAGAAGAAATGGTAAGGAGTGTGAAACTCAAGAAGATCTAGGCGCTGAATCCACCTGGGAGGTTAAAGAAGAGAGGAGTGAGTATCAGGGGTTGTCCACAGATCATGATCCGCTGCTGGAGTCTATCTTCACCCTTCAAGCAGCTCAGGAAAATCTTGAAAGAGGTAGATCTTCAGTTTTCATTGAAGTATACGATTTTGAACTTATTCTAGTATGTATTTTTTTTGGTTTTAATTATGCCTTTTATTTTCTGCTTGACGTCTTCAGCATATTGTATGAAGCAGATTTCTTTTTTGGTTTGAAGTTTATTCCAAATTCAGAGAAGGATAAGAACGGTTGCTGTCATTGCATAGTTATGTGCGACGTCCCCACACCCCCCCGACCCGGACGCGTCCCTCCTTCCCCCAAAATTTGAACTTCATTTTGTTGTCATGCCCAAGAATTTAGGACTGGCATTGCTGCAGGAAGAGATGACAGCAAGTCATGAAATCCAATCTGATGTAGTATTGGTAATCTTAATGGCTATGTA